AGGGTCTGGGTGAAATGCTTGCTGAGTGCTGGGTTAGGTGGCTTGTTTTTTCTAAACCTTATGGTTTGTGCCATATATTCCACTACCAGTGTTCTGGAGCTGGTTCATACCGACTCACAAGAGCTAACTGTTAAATCTTAAATAATTCTGCAAGTTGGCTGTTAAACCATTGATAGCATGGTGGAGGTATTCAGACCATGGCAGCTGAAAAAGACTATCAACTAAGGCTTTTTATTTTATTTTTTTGTCTTAAGAATATTTTTTTCGAGAGCTAATTTACCAACACATCACTGTCTCCACCTGTACATCTTGAAGAAGAGAGTCATTACTTCTTCTGTGAAATCACTGCCTTCCTGAAATTTACTTCTGAATTTCAATAGACATAGTTTTGGATTTCAGGGTTTTTTTTAACTTATCCTTTTTATAACTTACCCTCCCTAACCCCTATAAGTACTCCTCCCAAGTGCTGAGCTCTTGTGCTGCCACTGTTACATCTACAACCCCAGAGATGACTCATGTACACAGGGAAAAACAACTTATTGTTCCCTTTGATTCACTGCACACCAACATCCCTTATTTATCATTTAAGAAACAAGGACAGTTGTTCTATCATTCAAGAAATAAGTGAGAGGGTAACAGGCAGGAAGGCCAGGGGTCTCCAAACAGAGGAAATAGGCTGCAAGTGTCAGACATCTTTTTCTTTCTCTCAAGTGGCAGGAGGAAACTAGTGATACATTTTTCCCCCTTCTCTATACAAATTTAAAAAGAGGTTCTCTTAAAATACTGTGTTGCCATAATGACACATGGTTCCACCTGAACTTAACTATTTTCAAACCTTGAGTTAACCAATGCATTTTTCTTATGGAAATGTTTGTCTTAAGCTATGTTAATACACTACGCATTTACCCTAGCCTCTGTCTTCAAGTCGGTTCTGCCTAATGACTCAGACTTGACTTGACAAATCAGTATGTTATACTCAGACATTGTTTCTCTAATCTATGTAAGCGAAACTATTTGTTTGGTGATCTGCCTTTCTAGAAGATTCAAGTCAATCGTTTTATGGCCTGGAATGACTCGTCTGGTGCTAAGATTATCCCAAAATACATCTTATGGATGAGGGACCTGGTGCCATTGTCTGAGTTTTAAGACATTCCTTTCTTTCATTAACAGACTGCTAGTAACAATATAACATCCGCTAAAAACTAACAGGGGGGTATTCTTTCTGCCCTCTTCTGATGTCTATGTCAGAAGCTTTCTCTATTTCCTTTATACACTTTATTACACAAAAGCTCTGAGCGATCAAGCCTTGTCTCTGGCCCCCGAATGAATTCTTCTCCATAGGCCAAGAGTCCCAGCGCCTTTTCGTGGCTCAGCAACAACCTTTCACAAGGACAGTTCTTCTGTCATTCAAGAACAGTTCTGAAGAGTATTAACATTCAACAAGGACAGTTTTGAAGAGTATTAAGATATTTAAACAAAACATTTGATGAAAACTGAACTGACATTCCCAAGAAGCTCAAATATTCCCAAGCAATAGGAAGAAATAGGAAGAAAACTACAAAGAACAGCATAATAAAATTGCTAAAAATCAGTGATAAAGAGACAGTCTTAAAGCACTTGGAGAGAAAAAGACACATTATATACAGAACCAAGAGAATAAGAATTACAAGAGACTTACCAAAAAACGAAAAAAAAAAAACCAAAAAAAACAATGCAAGCCAGGAGACAATGAATAGGTATCTTCAGAGTACAGAAAGAAAAACTTATTTATGCAGCATAACAACTTTTCAAAATTAATATTAGTAAAAATGCCAGAGTAAGGACTTCTGAAAATAAATTTCATACCCATAAAAGCAATGAAAACACTGGACATTTTTCCAGAATCAACTTTTTCAGACTTCTGAAAATTAAACAAAGGCTTTCGGCAATCTGGAGAGGATTTACTTGAGAAAAATGGCTGAAACTTACTAAATCGGTGAGTTTTATGGACTTTTAACTCATCTATTCTTATTGTTCCCTCTCCTGTTTAGCTATAACCTTGAAAAACAACAGTCTGAAGTGGAAAAAACAGGAGCAGGGCAATAACTGGAGTGGCAAGTCAGGAATGGATCTCCTTCTAAGACTAATCCCCAGAGAATTATCATGTACTCTGCTGATTCCCTGGAAGATCCCCACTAGCAAAGCCATCTATATTTGATCTGACTCAGCACTCATCCAGTACACATAGGCCCCACAGGCATTTTGAAAAAAACAATCAAAGGCGACTGTTGGAACACAGTGACCACCAAAGGCAATACATACTATTTGGGCAAAAATTGGTTAACCAAAAGGCTTGAAAAGAAAACTTGGGGAATGAGATATCTGTAGCAGACTCTGAAAAGCTTTCACACAGTCCTGGGATTCTTGAAGGCCATGTGCTTTCATAGGATTGTGTACACTGCCAGATATGTGTGCTTACACAGGAATACCTGAGAAGCTCTAAGCACTCACTTCTGGTTAACAGGGAGGCTCAACACAAGCTAGAAGTGAAGCTTGAGGTGAAACTGTACACTTCCTGACTGAATGCTGAAGGCAGGTCCCAACATGCAAATTGAGGTCCACAACAAAGACTGGGAGACTTATTGGAAGAGGGAAAATAAGTTGTTCAACTGAAACAGAATTTCAGTTCTACAGATCTTTTGCACAACAATGTGAACATAATTAACACTACTAAACTATATATACTTAAAAACAGTGAAGATAGTAAATTTTATGTGTTTTACATTTCTTATTTTATAAAGACATAATTGTCTGGTAATCAATGAAGCCTTAAGACAAAGTCATTTTCATTGTTCATTAGAAGAACTTCAATGTTATACATGTTTTCATTGTCTGGTATACTGTTTATTTTTTGTTTTTGTTTTTTTTAAATTTTGTCCAGCTTCTTCACAACTGGAAGGATTTTGAAATGCCATTCAGAATAACCAGGACAACTTTCATAACCTTTCCAGTTAAAAGATTCATGAATGGTTCTGCTAGAGTAGACAAGGTGACATTCTGTTCAAGTGCTTCCCTACTTGTAGGATTGGTGACCAACCACAGTTTCATTTTGTACCCTAAATTCCTTTGGGAATATGCCAACAAGGAATGTCATCTGGCCTTGACTGCAAGTTGTGATACTTGGTATTGTCTACACAGATTCTACTGTATTAGTTCTGGCATCATTCAGTGGCCTGGAATTGCCTGCACATGTTCCTACATCAATTACAACTTGAGACTATCCATCAGTCTCAGAGCCAATTTTTCCTTTAGTTCTTAAGAAAGTGTTAGTCGCTTAGCTGTGTGTGACTCTGCGACCCCAGGGACGATAGCCTGCCAGGTTCCTCTGCCCATGGAATTCTCCAGGCAAGAATACTGGTGTGGGTAGCCATTCCCTGCTCCAGGGGAGCTTCCTGACTCAGGGTTTGAAGCTGAGTCTCCTGCCTTGCAGGCAGATTCTTTCCCATCTGAGCCACCACAGAAGTCACAATTGGCCATTCTGTAGCTTCTGGAAGCTTTACAAACTGTTTTCACAACCATTCAATTAATTCAGTTGGATGATTAGTTAGGTAAAAAATACCTGGTAAGTAAATGCTAAAATCTCAGGATCATCATGACACAAGAGACGAAAACTGAAAAGTAAAATTTGATGAACAAACTTCTTAAGACAAATGCTTTTAAGTGTCCAGGCTAGATTCTAAAGATGTGCCAAAGGTATAAACATTTTTTAACATCCACTTTGAAAGCATTTCAAACGTACAAAAGTTCCAGCGGTACAGGTAGCTAGCTCCTATTACCTATCTTCCCCAGATGTTGACATCCTGAATAACCATAGTACAATTGTCAAAGGCAGGAAGTGAATATTTATAAAATGGTGTAACGTCAGACCTTATTCAAGTTTCATCAGTTATCCCACTAAACCTTTTTTGTGGAACCTGGCCAGTATCACACATTGCATTTGTTATACTTCATTGGTCTCATCTAATCTTGGACAGACCCTCCTTTTCATTTTCTTTTACAACCTCAACACTTTCAAAAGGTATTAGCTAACTGTTCTGCTAAATATCCCTCAATTTGGGTCTGTCTTCTGTTTTCTCATGACTTAGAATTCAGGTTTTACCTTCTGGGCAGGAATATCACAGTGTACCTACCATACCTGAGGTGAGGTGGTAGCACAGGACATCTATATCTCAATACAGGTAGTATTAACTTTGTTTGGTTGTGGTGATGTGCCTGATTTTCCCACTAAGTGGTTAGTGTTTATTCCCTCTGGAAATCTTGTCAGGAAATTCTTTGCCCTAAGGTTAGCATCTACAGATAGTTATTACCTGCAAAATTACTGCTGTGATGTTTGCCAAATAACAGTATTTTATTTCCATCCTCCCTTCTCCATTTAATTGTTGGGATTCTACTGAAGGAAGTGTCTGTCCCTTTTCTCCCTTTTATTTACATCAATATGGACCAAACATTTGCTTTTCTGTTTTTAATTTTTAAGATTTTGGATGGACCTGTTAGATCACCTTCAGGAAGGTTGTGCAGATTCATACTTCCTCAGGTTCTGCATGAGTCTGTCACCTTCCTATACTCATGCCAACAGGAATTATGTACAAATAAATTAATTTGTTTAAAAAAGGACATCTCAGTTTAATTCAGTTGCTCAGTTGTGTCCGACTCTTTACAACCCCATGGACTGTAGCACGCCAGGCTTCCCTGTCCATCATTTATGTATCTTCACTGTTTATCTTCCATTTGTTATTTTACATATAAGTGCACATTTTATCCTTGTTACCTATGTGTTTATAAGATCTTTTTGCACTGAAGATACTATTACAAATGGAATAATGTGAACATATCTTCTCAATTTCCTCATGTATTCCTTTGCTAATGGATATTTTAGTTTTATATGGTCAAATACATTGATATACTCTTTTTATTTGTGCTATTGAAGTTCTTTCCCAAATAAAAATACTCAACATGCTCTCTTAGGTTTTTGATTAAATCCAAATTTTTATATGTATTTCTTATATTCTTCTGGATTACATTCCACTAGGCTTTCCAACATAAACTCTTTTCTTTGTTTCAATACTTTTCCCCAAAGTTCAGGAATTTTTAAAGGTAGAATTTAAATCCTTGGGGAAATATATTTAACCTTTAATAAATGATGCTGACCATCCATTTAGGTGAAAAAATTCCCTCCTTCACACTATTTATAAAAATGGATTCCATATGAATATACATGTATTAGGAAAATATTTTTTATCAAGAAAATACAAACTCTATAAATCTAGTCAGCTGGGTAAATAATGGCAGATTATCTATCCCTGGATAATTTGCTAGCATTAGATTACAATGAAATAAATATGATTAAGCTATCCTTCATCATATTGATACAATATTGCCTATATCAGATTAGTATAACTGATAGCATATACTATAAAATCCTTTTACTGTTCACAAGTTTCTCTAAGGTTTTGGTTACATTCAATTGTCCTTACCAGACAGCTATACCCCAAAGGAAGAATTTTATTTGAATAAAAAGGGCCCATAAGTTGAAATAAATAGCTGTATAAAATATATATTTACAAAAATTTATGATGACTAATATAAACATTAATGTATATTACATGTAGGCATAATAGAAGATAATTAAAAGGTAACTGTAATGAAAATGGGGAAAAATACAAAACCAAATCAAGGACTCAGGTTTCTTTTTGTCAACACTACACACAAGTGCCCCAAATGCTCTCTGTACCTAGCTGTAAACATCTCATTGCAAACCGAATACCCCGAGGGCCCCCTCTGCCCGTCAGGCATTACCGGATGTGGTATGCCCTGAAGCACTTGGCGTGGACGCCCTTCTGGCACTTCTCGCAGCGGGTGTTGGTCTGTGAGTGGCACAGGGCGCAGCGGGTCCTCTTGTCCTGGTGGATGATCCAGTGCCCAATCATGTCGAAGCGGCTCTCAGTTTCCAGCCGCCTGCTTCTCCTCCCTTGGGATGACGTGTCTGCATTGCTCTCTAAGTACACACAGGCCACATATCTTCGGAAGGCCAGGAGGTCCACCTGGGCATCATGGCAGCATATCCTATGCAGCTGCCAAGCATTGTTAAGAGCTGCATCAATAACATAACCAATGAAACTTGAGTACCACTTCATACCCCGGATCTTCACCTTGTACTTGGCGATGTTCTGGTCCATACGGCCAACACCCCCCACCTTCTCCTGGTACAGTCTCAGCAGGGATGGCTGATGAACCTGGGTCTGCATCTTGGCTGCTCCCGAGTGATGGCTGGTCAGCCCCACCGGCTCTATGCCCACAGCATTGGAGCAGATGTTGACCACACTGCTATCGTGCCAGCGGCACACAATGATCTCCTCACTCTCATCAACTTTGTAATCAAATGAACCCCTCTTCATTTTCTTCAGTTCTTTGGGATCTTTAAGGGGACAACGCTCAGTTCTGTACTCACGAACAGTTCCTGTGGCCTTCACTCCTTTCTTCCTTAAAATGGACATCAATTTGACACTTGTAAAAACCTTGTCAAAAAATATGTGGTATGGCAGACAGCCACGTGTCTGAAGTGCATCCACAAATTTCACCACCATACTGCCTCCCAGGTCCAGGCCCCTGTCTGGCTTAGTGAACACTGTGCCCTGGGAGGGCTCAAACCACACCAGATAGCCCCTGCTGGTCGTCCCACACCAGATCTTGTAGCCCAGCCGCACAGGCTTCCCCGAAGGCAGCTGCTTAGACCCCCGGTGTCCAAAGTATTCACACATGGATTCACCAAAGCTATAGAACTCTTCCAAGGGTGCATGCTTCCGGAAATTGCAGTTCATGCGTACGATAAGAGGCCTGACCTTGGCAAACCTATCACTTTCATCAAGCTCATTGTTATCTGCAAAATGCAGGTATGAGAAGATCAGTTCAAATCTGTCCCTTCGAATTGCATCAGCCACAAGATGATGATGTGAGTCAGGAGATGTTTCCCAAAACATCCTTCTCCTTGGATAAGAGATATACCCACTTAAAATCAAAATGCCTAAGACACACTTCAATTCCTGGGCTGTCAGACCCAGGTTGACATTTTTCTGCCTAGCATAACGATTGGTTTCATTAACAATAAAATTAATTGTTCCTTCATCAAAAAACAGTTCAAAGAGACCTACAGGACTCAGTTCCTGGCTTTTGAGATCTTCCATATGAGGATCTGTTGCTGTCCAACTGCTGAAGTCCGGGTGGATATCTCTTTTGGTCCAAACACGTTGAGGTTCCACTACTGCCTTCCGTTTCTTCGTGGCTGGCTGCAGCTGCAGGTCATCCTCCTCCTCCTCTGCGGTGCCAGAGTCCTCAGGGACCACAAAAGCATGCAACACATTACCGGGCACGTGGGTTCCTCGCTGGCCATCTTCATCACCTGAGTCTTCATCAGTGAAGTCCCCTGCAGCATTTTTGGGTGGTGCAATGAAGATCTCTTCCCTAGTGTGAGATTCCTCCTCTTCCAGAGCATTCAGAACCTCAAGTAACTTCACAGACTTCAGCTTTGAGCTGGTACTCCCAGTAGAGAGGCCGCTGCAATGACAGTAAACAGAATGAAGAGAGGCCATGCAGGAAAGCTAGTACTTCAGCAGAAAACTCCACCAAACCACTGTCTAAGATGGGGGCACTCCCGCTGTAACAGCATCTCAGATCCAACACCACCAGGCAATGTGCCGGATAAGTCAATGTTCCAGACAAACACAGATTAGTCTTCTAATCTGTGTTTTAATAAAGGGAGGTGTTCTAAAGAGGTATTCCATACTTCCTTTTCTGCTTAAAGTCTTTGAATAGAGGATTCCCTCTAGTGATGAGTCCAGATGCCACTGTCATCATCTGGTTAACAGTAACTGCCAATGGGAAAGTTGGGCTGCTGAAGTGACCTCCACTGATGTCTCTTGACTCAGTGATCTGAGCAGCCCTGCTTTTGTGCTTCTGTCTTACCTATCTCTTCCCTTGTTCTTTCTCACTTGACAAATATAAGTTTCCTCACTTCCCAAATTCTCATTCTCTCTACCTGAACTCTCACTACCCAAATTCAAGACCTAGCCAGTTTCAGACAGATTTTCACATGGCTCCCTCAACATCTGCTATCCTACTGCATCCTGCCTGCCAAATGGATTTGGAAACATGGAAACCCCTGCTATTCTAATTCTGCCTGTCCATGTGGGAACCAAATACAGGAGATGTTTGTATTTAGTGCTGCTCAGGGACTGCAGTGGGCACACTCCACTCCCCGACCTGCACAGCACTTGTTTCCAAATGAAGAAAACAAATGACATATCAACAAGCAAGTAGCTACACAGGATGGCATCAGGTAGTGATGAGGGCCACCCTGAATAAGGGACAGAGAATACAGCAAAGGAATAGGGCTGGGGGTGCTACTTTAGACAGATGATGAGGGAAGGCTTACAGGGCAGACAGACTGGAAAGGTGAAGGAGTGAGCCTTGCAGACAGCTGAAAACAGGGTATCCCAGATGGAGAGAAAGAACTGCAGGTACAGGTAGACAAGGCCCTGTGGTCAAAGGGTCTTGACATCTATGAACAGCAAGGAGGTTAGTGACGTTGCAGAACATAGTGAGGGGAGAAGAGTAGAGCAGAGGTAGCTAGGTCCAGGGCCAAGGCTCCAGAGGGTTCCAGAGTCCTGATGAGGACTTCCAGGTTATCAGAGGAAGTCCCTGAGGGGTATGGAGCAGGACATGAGTGGTCATCACATCACTGTGGCTATGAGAAGAGACTGGACTTGAGAAGGTGGGCACTGCTGCTGTCCTATTCCCTGGCCACTGCATGAAAAGCCACACACCAGAGGGAGGATACAGGCTTTACCATGAAGGCTATTTCTCCAAAGGTCTGCCTGTAAGTTGTGGAGTTTAGGTTGCATTAGAGACTCACTCCAACCTCACTTTCAGGGCACTGGCTCCACCAGCCCCATGCTAGAGGCTAAGGGACAAGACATCTGATCTCTGGGGAGATGAGGTATACCTCAAGCTCTCTGGGCCAGCCAGAAAGGGAGAGGAAACCTGAAGCTCTGCCTCTCCACAGGCCTCAAACTAAAACGTGTTCTCAAAGAACATCAGCCCTTTTCATGCCTCCTCCAGTCACCCATGGTCTACAGCAGCAGATCCAGATCTGCTCAGCCGTGGTCTTGGCTAGTCTCACCACTCAAACTGCTGCATACCCACAGGCCCTCAAACACCTCTGCCTGGCTGTTCACACCCTTATAGTGAGAAAGCCTGCAGGAACTGAGGCAGCCCCACACAGAACCCTCTTGTGTCTTGAAGGATGGGGAAAGCAAATCACATCTTTAGCTCAAGTGTAGAGTTAGAGCTACAGAGCTGCATCCATACTGCACCCCCACATACTCCTTTGTCTGCCTTGCCTTTTCTCCTGTCTTCCTCTCTCCTCTCCCTCCTTGGTGCTTCACAGACACCGAGTGCTTAGGGTGGCTAGCAGGACTGAGAGCTGAAAATGTTAAAAGCTTGGCCTTTCAAAAGCAAAGGGGTAAATACAGTTAGCCTTGAATAACACAGGTTTATGTGAACTAAGAGAAGACTCTTGAGAGTCCCTTGGACTGCAAGGAGATCCAACCAGTCCATCCTAAAGGAATTCGGTTCTGAATATTCATTGGAAGGACTGATGCTGAAGCTGAAACTCCAGTCCTTTGACCACCTGATGCAAAGAACTGACTCACTGGAAAAGACCCTGATGCTGGGAAAGATTGAGGGCAGGAGAAGAGAATGGCAGAGGATAAGATGGTTGGATGGCTTCACTGACTCAATGGACATGAATTTGGGCAAGTTCCGGGAGTTGGTGATGGACAGGAGGCCTGGCGTGCTGCAGTCCATGGGGTCGCAAAGAGTCAAGACACGACTGAGTGACTGAACTGAACTGAACTATGTGAGTTCACTTATACATGGATTCTTTTTCAGTAACTATGTACTAGAGTACTACACGATTCTCATTTGGGAGCCAGCAGTGCAGAGGGCTCCATTATAAAGTTACACACAGATTTGTGAATGCACAGAGGTAAGCAACCCTAGTCGCTATGTGTTGAAGAGTCAACTGTACTTGCATAAAGCCTTTCATCAAACATTACTCCTACCTTGAAGATGAAGCCATGATATACTGGGAACACCAGGTTATCTTTACTTGCAGAGTCTAAGAATCTGTAAGAAAATGGAAGTCAGTTTTAAGAAATCATATGCAAGACAATAGGACCTTCTGTGTCATTTGAGGGAAAAAAAATCTCTAGATTCACTACAAACCAGAGGGAAATAGATCAAGTACACACAGAAAATGATGTGTAGTTGACTGGCTAGTCAGAGGAGAAAAGAAGCTCCTTCATCTCACACCTCACGACAAAATACATTCTGGGATGGTGTTTCCCATAGTTAGAACTATTGGCATGGTGTTTGTTATAGGGGGCTCTCCTATGTATTGTGTGATGTTTAACAGCATTCCAGGCCTCCATTTACTACATACCAGTAGAACTGTCCCACTGGTCATGAAAAACAAAAGGGTTTCTAGACATCACCAAGTGTTCCCTGGTGGGAAGGACAGGATGTAAAATCTCCCTTGGTTGAAAACTACTGTCCTACATCAGTGCTGCCAATAGAATTTGCCACAATGATAGAAATATTTTGTATCATTGCTATCCAATACGGTAGGCATGAGACACATATGAAGATTAAGCACTGGATATATATGGCTAGTGTGACTGAGACACTGAATTTTTAATAATTCTAATTTACATACTCACATGTGGACAGTGGCTACTTTTTAGACAGTGAAGTCCTAGATGTATTAAGCACTAATTGCAAAAAAAAAAGCAAAACTTTAAAACTTTTGAAGTATATTAATGGCCACAGCATGGGGAAACCTTTCTTTTAGAAAACAGAAACTCAAAGGAGGATGGACAATTTTAACTATATCAAACTTCCAACAAATCTGTAGTAGGTTGTTTTTGAACTGTGGTGTTGAAGAAGACTCTTGAGAGTCCCTTGGACTGCAAGGAGGTCAAACCAGTCAATCCTAAAGGAAATCAACTCTGAATATTCACTGGAAGGACTGATGCTGAAGCTGAAGCTCCAACACTTTGGCCACCTGATATGAAGAACTGTCTCATTGGAAAAGACCCTGATGCTGGGAAGGATTGAAGGCAGGAGGATAAGGGGACAATAGAGAACAAGATGGTTGGATGGTATCACCGACTCAATGGACATGAGTTTGAGGAAGCTCCGGGAGATGGTGAAGGACAGGGAAGCCTGGCATGCTGCAGTCCATGGGGTCGCAAAGAGTCGGACATGACTGAGTGACTGAACTGACTGATCCCTAGCAGCCAACACAGCTCCTGGCATGTAACAGGCACACAGTAAATACTTTCTGAACTGAACAACTTCTGCTGCAGAGCAAATGGCCATACTGCAGGGCATTCTTCCAATTCTATAGCAGGCTTTCATTTTCATCTTAACTTTTTGGCTTTAAGACAGCTATTTAGTAAAGTATTAAGGAACTCATTTCTTTTTTTTTTTTTTAGGAACTCAATTCTTAATTCACCCTAACAAAAATGCATTCCTCAAGATTCTCTAAAACTTTGCATAGGAAATGTGTAGCAATGGAGAGCCAACTGATACAGTGGACTCAAACAAGAACAGAAGGGATAGCTCAGCAGAAAGGGTAGGAAAAGCCATTTCTCTCTTTCAGGGGACCTCTGGCTGTGCTCCTCAGTCCCTCCATCCCCTACTGTACGGCCCTTCCATCCTTCTTGCCCTTCTTGACAGAACCACCAGAGGAAATGGACAGGAGGAAACAGTGCCTCTCCAGGCTAAGCAAATTCCCGACGGGAATGACTTCCAGAAAGAGGCTGTTGGGCAGCCGTATAAAGCAGCCCTTAATTTCTTCACTCCTTTAGCAAACATCAGAAGTGCCTACTAGATACCTAAGCATGTATAAAATCACTACTCTAACAGGGCCACCAAAAAGAAGAGGTAGGAGAGATTAAGGTCTACAAAACAAGACTTAGTTAGATCTAGTCGGGAAAGTCACAAAACTTCTTTCTAAGGGAAGGATAATTAGACCTTCCCTAGGAAAGAGACCCTCCAAAAGAGTACAAATTCCCTGAGGAAGCAGAGAACAGCATCCCAAGCAGAAGAAACAGCAAACACGCAGGAAAGCAAAGACAATTATGACAGGGTAGAGAACCCAAGCAAAGGGTATACAAAGAGACTGGATCAGCTATGCCATGTCTTGAAGCACTGTTTAAAGAGACTTATCTTTAATGTAAAGCAAAAGGAAATAAAAAAAGATTATAGGCAGAGCATGACACAGTTGGGTTTACATTTTAATAAGTTTATTCTGACTCCACGTGGTATAGACAACTAAGTGAGGGCACCAAAGCAGATGTAGGGAGATAAGAGAGATCATCAGGATGGTGATGCTTATGGCAAAAAGTGGGCCAGCCCAAGTAGGATTCAAAAAGTAAACCAACAAGTTTGGATGATTGAGGGGGAGGGAGAGGGCTGATCAGGGAGGCCTCCCAGAGTTAAGGTTTAGTGGCTAAGGTAGGGTGGTGCCATTCACAGAGGCCAGGAGCAGAACTATGGCATGAGATGTGGGTGATTTGGAGCTGTCTCTTGCACATATAGGGATGGAAATGCTTTTGAGATAACCAGAAAGGTACTAAAAGGCCACAGTCCCTCTGGGGCTGAGACAAAGAAATGGCCTGGGCTAAAGTCATAAATGAGTCAGTTTTCTGGGGATTTGTGGAAGCCCCAAAGCCACAAGAGTCCCTGAAGCCACAGGTGTTACCCAGGGGGAAGCCCACATTGAAAGAGAAGCTGGAAAAGGAGGACATCTTCAGAGAGGTCTAAGAGATCTAACGGCAGGAGGTTGACCTGAGAGACAGAAAAACCAGGAGGTGCTGAGCAGTCAAGGGCCAGATGTGTGTGCAAAGCTGTGGCTCAGCTGGACATTCTCAGTTGGACATTCCCAGAGGCTCAGCTGGATATTCTCAACTGGCTCTGGCATCCAGGAAGAAAAGGCTCTTTGATTTGAGATCTGATGTTCCTACAGCCATTCTGAAGGATCTTGGAGGTGAGGGGACCTCTAGTGCTTAAAATATTAAATTTTCCAATGAGACAGGACAACTAAATGGAACTAAATCCTGACTTGGATCCTATACCACAAAAACGAAATGGTTGAGAAGAGCAAAAAATTCTGAACAAGGCCTGTAGACCTTACGTGTCCTGGTTTCGCTAACTGCTCTCTTAAGTAAGATGTTAACATTTGGGGAACCCAGGTGACTCGAATGTAGGGATTCTTTGTATTAGTTTTCAAACGTGTCTCATTTTTTAAAGTTACTTAGAAAAATTTTTTAATAAGACATTTTATAAACGTCAATGCCTCAAAGTTAAGCCAGGTGCAAAACGGCTCAAGAATGGCCTTTGAGATACGGGGCCCTCCTCGTACTTATCTCAATGCTAAACAAAAAAGGGGAAGAAATGAAAACAAAGATGCTATGCAACCTCAGCGATCCCAGAAGCAGTGAGAAACTGTGGAAATGCCCAAATCGCCCTTCACAGCGCACCCCAACGCAGAACCTCCTCTCCCCCGAAAGGGCAAGGCCTCTAAGCACGCCAGATCCCTCCGACCCCGCCCACAAATGTCCACCCGCTCCGCCCCCAGCGTCAGCCCGCCCCAGCCCCAGCTCCGCCCACAGCAGTCCTTCCCGCCCCTGCCTGGGGCACCGTTGGGAAAAAACATCGCTAGGGTCCGCCGCTCCCACATCCAAGAGGGGTCTAGTCGGCGGTGCAAGCGGGGCGACCTCGACCTGCGATGAACAGACTGGAGCCTCGTGGTTCGTGCCAGATACCACTCGTAGCGTGGAGCCTAGAGCGCCTCGGCGCTGTTGGCGTCGGCCGTCGCGGCAGCGCAACGTCCGGCAAGAGAGCGCTCCACTCGCCTTCGGCCCGCCTTCCGCTCCCCGCCCAGGACACACCCCTGCTTAGGACACGCCCCCGATCCCAGCAACCAACGAGACTTTAGGGCTTCCGCGGAGCTCAGGGGAAACCCGGAAGTGCCTCTGAGGCCGGGGCCAGGGCAGTGAAATATACTCGGCCCNCCCGGAAGTGCCTCTGAGGCCGGGGCCAGGGCAGTGAAATATACTCGGCCCGTCTTGCACCCTCCACTCGCCCGATTCCTTTACTTGATAGCCTAGGTACTTTCCTCTCTATTACTCACTAAGGCACGAAACCTTTTTTTCTCTCTAGGTGGGTGGTTCTCCAATATAATTCCAACAACAGCTTCACTTGGGAACATGATAGAAATGCATATTCTGAGCCCCCAACCCAGAAATACCTAATCAGAAATTCCGAGGCTTGGCCCAGTAATCTGCATAACCTGCTCAACTTTACACCTTGGACTTTTTAGTTTGGATAATTCTTTGTCATGGGGGCCTATCCTGTGTATTGCAGGTAGGCTCACCAGATGTAAATTAGGGTACTCAGTTAAGTTCGAATTTCAGATAAATATATACTCTAAGATTAATCTTAGATTGGCATGCTGCAGTCCATGGGGCAGCAAAGAGTTGGTCAGGACTGAACAGTAAGATTAATCTAGCAGTTAAGTATTTCATCTGGTGACGCTGCTGTTCAGTCCCTCAATCCTGTCCAATTCTTTGGGACCCCATGGACTGCATGCAGCACGCCAGGCTTCCCTGTCCTTCACCATCTCCCAGAGTTTGCTCAAGCTCATGTCCATTGAGTCGGTGCGGTGATGCCATCCAACCATTTCATCCTCTGTCTCCCTCTTCTCCCCATGCTCTCAATCTTTCCCAGCATCAGAGTCTTTTCCAATAAGTTGGCTCTTCCCATCAGGTGGCAAAGTATTGGAGGTTCAACTTCAGCATCATTCCTTCCAATGAGTATTCAGGAATGATTTCCTTTAGGATTACTGGTCTGATCTCCTTGTTGTCCAAGGGACTTTCAAGAGTCTCCTCTAGCACCACAGTTCAAAAGCATCAATTATTCAGCATCCAGCCTTCTTTATGGTCCAAATTTCACATCTGTACTTAACTATTGGAAAAACCATAGCCTTGAATATGTGGACCTTTATCAGCAAAGTGATGTCTCTGCTTTTTAATAAAAATATGGTAGGTTTGTCATAGCTTTTCTTCCACAAAGCAAGCATCTTTTAATTTCATAGCTGCAGTCACCATTTGCAGTGATTTTGGAGCCCAAGAAAATTAAGTCTCTCATTGTTTCCATTTTTTCACCATCTGTTTGCCATGAAGTGATGGAAGCAAAATGCCATGATCTTAGTGTTTTGAATTTTGAGTTTTAAGCCAGCTTTTTCACTCTCCTCTTTCATCAAGTGGCTCTTTAGCTCCTCTTTACTTTCTGCATAAGGGTGGTGTCATCTGTATATGTGAGGTTATTGATATTTCTCCTGCAAGCTTGATTCCAGCTTGTGATTTATCCAGCCCAATGTTTTTCTTGATATACTCTGCATATAAGTTAAATAAGCAGGGTGACAATGTACAGTCTTGACATATTCCTTTCCCAATTTTGAACCAGTGCATTATTCCATGTCTGATTCTGTTACTTCTTGACTGAGATACAGGTTTCTCAGGAGGCAGGTAAGGTGGTTTGGTATTTCCATCTCTTTAAGAATTTTCCATAGTTTTTTGTAATCCAGACAGTAAAAGGCTTTCTCATAGTCAGTGAAGCAGAAGTAGGTATTTTTCTGGAATTCTCTTGCTTTTCCTGTGACCCAGCGGATGTTGGCAATTTGATATTTGGTTCCTTTGACTTTTTAAGATCCAGCTTGTGCATCTCAAAGTTCTTGGTTCAAGTACTGTTGAAGCCTAGCTTGAAGGATTTTGAGCATTACCTTGCTAGCATGTGAAATGAGCACAACTGTGCAGTAGTTTGAACATTTTTTAGCATTGTTCTTCTTTAGGATTGGAATGAAAGCTGACCTTTTCCTGTGACCACTACTGAGTTTTCCAAAT